AATTGAAAAAAAAAACGGTTTTAGAATGCTTCTTTCCTAAAACATTAATGATTTAAAGTGTTTGTATTGTATTTCTAATTTGTTTTGACTGAAATTCGAAGAAAAAAAGATTTTTCGCCAGTTTTCAAATTGCTGTATCTCTTTAATTATGAGTTGGATACCACTAGTATATTAACATTTTTTGTTCCAAATTACCTCAGGAATGCCCTCCCTAAGTGAGGGTAAAACTTTGTGAATCACCCTGTATACTGACATCATTTAAACCAGTGTTTCTCAACCAGCAGGTTGCGGCCCAGTACCGGGCCCTGGCATCAATTATACCGGTACCTCGTCTTATAGAAAAAAGAATTTACCTGGCCACAATCTGATAAAGGTTGAGAAACACTGATTTAAAACAATAAACATAAATTTTGTTACCATAATTCAGTACCAATAATTTCTGCTTCCTTTGGACTCAATAACCAACCTGAACTCCCCTGACACATATTTGTCCCTGTCTTTGAACACCAGGATGGAAGTTTTGTAAATCTTTATGGCCACATCCTGATTTTCCTTGCCAGTTGCATGGTAAACATTTGCCTCCTTGCCTGTTGAGATGCATCCATTTACGACTGATATAGTCCCTCGGTTCAGCAGCTTAAACAAAATCATGCGAGTTCGTGGGTCCATTACCTGTTCCGCTGTTGCTCGGTCATGTTTGTCTTTGGTTCGAGCTCTGGAAACAGATAAAACCTTACTGCCATCAAAATTTTCACTGGAAAGACCACCGTAAGCTTACAAACAGGAACCCAGAACGAGCTCACCCAGATGTTGAAGTAATCAATTAATTTATGAAGTTACCAAGCAGCCTGATTCAAGCAGTAATGTTCCTGACTTGTATTTAGAAGGCTCTCAATTTGAATCTTGGCCAATACAGTGATGACCCTCAGGTTTCTCCTGGTTTCCCTTGGTGTCTCTAGGCAAATGCCAAGACAGTACCTCACATTATGCCACAGCTGCTTCCTCCATATCCATTCCTAATAATTGGACCACTATAAACTATTTTTCCTGAGTTCCTGACAGCATTTTTAAATAAATAACAAATAAATATGCTATGAAAGCTGCATTAATTCCAGAATTTACACAGCATCAAATGTGATGAATAAGGAAAATGAATAAGGAAATATGTGGGAGGAAATGGCCGTGGCCTAATATAAGCCACAATCTCAGGATTAACCATCCAAAAAACCAAGGAAGTCTCAATGAGTGGCCTGAATTTGATCTATGTACCTCCTAAATCTGAGACATGGCAAGGAAGTTGATTTAACCTGTTCAGCCTATAAGTGATTTTCCTTTGTTCATCCACAGTAATTTGGATAAAATAAACAATTTTTAGTGCCACAATAAATACACAACTCAGTTAATAAAGATAAAATATTTTACTACAAGTATTATGTTTTGGGGGGGCATGCGGTAGCGTAACTGGATGAGGGGCTATGCTACAAGCCGGAAGGTCGCGGTTTCAAGTCCCTATGAGGTCATTGGATTTTTTCAATTAGCCTAATCCTTCCAGCCACACCATGGCCCTGGAGTCAACTCAGCCTCTAACAGAAATGAGTACCAGAAATTAATTAAATAATTTTCCTGGAGAGTAAAGCACGGCTGGCGCGTAAGGCTGACAATCTTACGCCATCTTTGAGCCGATTGTCTAGAAAATCTGGGACCCTCAACGTCTCACAACCCTATGGGTCTTCACGGCCTGTTACAGGGATAGCTTTACTTTTCTTTTACTTTACTATATTTTTGGACATTATCCACCGTCTTGTCTATGTTCTAAAAACTTCCCTGTTTCTTTTTTAAAAACACAACATTTTGAAGACTGGATTCTGTCCATGTCCTCATGTAAAACCTACTCAGTTGGGTCCAATAGATAGAGATAGATGACCTCTGACCTCTAGACCACGCAGGTGGTCTACAATGATTACACATATGTACAAAAAGCAATAATACTAGTTCAATAGGATTCTAAGTACAACATTAAGCAATATTAAGATACAGCAAGTTTCAAAGCTGTTTTTGCAGCTGTAAACAAAATCAAAGTTAACAGATAAGCATATATTAACAAAGTACTGTAATTGTTTCACATAATGTAACCAGACATATGTCGATGTACCTTTCAGCCTCAAGCCTTCGATTACTTTGTATCAGCAAGTTGGTGGCACAGTTTGGCAACACTGGACCCTCATATTTTTCTACATTTATCTTGTTCATGAAGCGTTTCAACTGTTTCTCCTGTGGCTGGTAGCTGTTGTCCACTGAAACGCCATATTCCTTGGTGGGACCTATGTAATGATCCAAAGTATACAAGCATCCAATGTACAAACCCAATTCTGTAACCACAAGTGTTGGAATTCATGCTGAAACATATATACATATAAAACTGAGCTTCAGTTACACAGAAAAAGGTAAAGTTGTCCCCATGCTTAACTAATTAAGCACTACACCATGAAGGCATCTGGGGGAGCAATGTATAGATACACATTTTCTTGACCTCAGCACTAGCTGGAGGTGAGTGGTCAGGTTCACACCCATCCCTGGAGAAAGAGCCCACAGTACCCATTGGACAGGAGGCTGGTTAGGCCACAGAGCCAGTCTGGATGATATGGCAAAGAGAAAATTCTTATGCTACTGGGGCTCGGTCATCCAGCCTGTAGACAGTAATTATACCAAGTGCACTACCCCAGCTCACTTCAGTTACACAGTATTTTGTTATAATTACTGCAGCCAGTTATTATACTGTTCAGTTGACTTCAAGGAGACAGGTACTGGACACTCTGTTATCCAGTATCAAACCATCTGAAATTCTCATGCAACCAGCAAAAATTTCAAATAAAATTTACTGTTTATATAAATTCACTTTACAAACAATTCTGCAATTATATATTGTCACATGCTGGGTAAGTCATGCAACAAATAAATTCACGTGGGTCTCGGGTTCAGCAAATCTTTACTGGACACTCAACCTTAGACACCTTACAATTGTTATCACCTCAACTGTATTCTGCAGCAGCTATCTTTTGATTGTGCTGTATGGCGACTCGGTTCCAACTGTTTTTGCTGTCGGTGGCTCTCGGCTTTTGTAGGTGTTCTGCGGACTCAGTAGAGGACACCCCTCGCCAAGGTTCGATCTCACGTGTTCGGCAATCTGTTGCCCCAAGAACGCTCCCTATATGCTGGTAACAAGTTTCGTCTCATCCGTTGTTATGCAACAGCAATTTGTCGCTGTGGGATCTCCACAATTCCCATTGTAGCCATTGCGCGGGGATGGACGTAAGATAGCTCGTCACAATATGTTCACCCACAACACTGTAGTGCTCCCAGCCACCAATAGCAATGTTATCCATATCTTCCATCACACAGGTGCTGTTACAGCAAAGAACTCTTGTATTTGTGATTGCGTTACAGCATATGCAAAACTGTTTATCCATCAATCTGTTACGTCTCCTAGTAAGACTGCCATGCAAAAGTTATAGCAAAAATGTGTTGTTCTGACATCTGTACTTGTTTCTGTATGAGTTCCTCTCATGCAACTGGCAGATTTATGTAACCAGAACATCCAACTCTACATACATATCAGATAAGTGAGCGGGTTTTTGTATTTTGTTTAGCATCTTAAAAGCCCTGGAAGATCAGAAGAGAAATTCGATGCTGATATATCTGATATGTACGTGTGTTACTTCAAAAGCCATGGCAACATAATTTTTCTGAAATTTCGAAAACTCCAACCGGAATTTCCAAATTTGCCGCTGAGCGACAGCAACGTCTGATTTCTAACGATGCTGCTAGATGATGGAGAAGTCCAAGGACCACGAAGCGAGTCCATCACGAAGTCAGTGTGATCATAACCTTCGTCGAGAATGAACGTTAGCCGGCTGGAACAGCGTTGTTACGAGAAAATTGCGGTGCTTCGAGGCAGGAATGCGACTGAATGTCACTCAGAGCTTGTGGAAGCTCTGGGTGATCGTGCTCTACCATACAGAACTGTTGCAAGGCGGATAGAAGCATTCCAATGTGGAAGAGAAGCAAGTGCCGACTTGCAACGTAGTGGACACCTTATGTCCGTTCGTACCGATGTTTCTCGTGCCGTGCTGGCAGCAAGTACTTGATACACTTGGCGACTACTTTGAAGGTTGCTAGTCGTAATGTAAGAATTTGGATTTAACTCACATTGAATTTTTTATATCTTAATCACAACTGAATTTTTCAAGGAATAAAGAATGAAAGAAAAAGTCATTCTGTAATGTGCAATTTTTCTTGCCTACTATACCTATGCCCTTTCACATCTACCTGATCTGACTAAGCCAATCGGAGGGCTATATCATGCCCTTTCATAAGTATATTTTGAACTTTCTTCACTGTAATGCGTTTGCCCCCAAAAAATTAGTTGCCATGACTTTTGAAGTAACCCATGTATAAAAGATGTACTGATACATCCTTCTGAAGATGACTAGTCTTCATGGATTTATAATACAGGAACTGTAAGAGTCTCACTGAATTACATGCGCCAAATATTACACATAAATAAAGTCATATGTCAAGTCTTCTCAGGTGGACTTCTAATTCCTCTTTAACTACGAACTTCCTGGGGCTACCTCCTACTGGCTTGCTTGTTTGTGTGCTGCTGCTACCACTACTACCACTACTGCTGCTGCTACTCATAACTCATAACTTGCAACTGCCCGAACAAATTCAGTCACTTACTTACATAGCCGCGGAATGGACATGGACCAACAGTAAACACAGATCAAGTGATCACTATCCAGCCAGTCTACTGGCACAATGGTTAGATCTACAGATCTAGTGTTGCGTGTTGGATTGTGTTTAAAGAGCTGTTGCCTGGCAACGCATTCATCATATCCATAGCGTTATCTTTAGATTATACATGTTCAAACATGGCTGTGAGAGCTGCTGCTTGGGTTGGGTGAGGATGCTGAGAATTGGATGGTTAGGATGGCAGAGGAATGGTTAGATAAGGAGGGGCAGGGGAATGGAACACCATTTCTAGAAAAAAACTCTTCAAAAGCCTATGATAAGTTACATTACAAGCAATGCTACAGAGATTCCAAGCATGCATTATCACACAATACTGAACTGCAATTGCGATGGTAAAGCTGGATATATGATAATACATTATAAAATACATGGTATAAAAGTATAATGAACTATAAACTTATTATAAATCTATATCTATATTCCCCATAGAACACACAAAATACATTGTAAGATGAGGCACTGGCCAAACAATTAACGTCAAAACTATACTACATCTATACCATGGCCCTCAAAGCAGTTTATTACATGTATAAACGTCTAGAATGTACCACTATGTCCGCGGAAATATAACAAAATTGCAACAACTGACTTCATATAGAATATCACATGAAGAGATTTTAACCTTATTTTACACCATAAGTAGACGCTGTAGTAACGCCGGTTGGGGAACCGAAGCAGAAAAGGTGCAGGGACCGAAAACTGGCGGCGGAGTGCCGCCACCAGAAAGCGAAGGATTCTGCATGGGAAAATCGTGAACCCCAGAAGAAATTGGCCATCGCCCACAGAGGGACAACACACCGAGAGAAAGCGGCACGGAGAACGCCAATAGACAAGAGGATGTCCCGTCGCGCGACAGTGGCATGACGCAAGAGAGACACCGTGAAGAAGAATCTTACTCGGGGAGCTGGTGGATTCCCATGGAAACGACTGACCATGGCCAACAAGAAGATGACCCACCACGCAAATGTGGCACAGCACAAGAGACCCAGATCTCAGGAAGGTCAGTTTGAGTTACGCTCAAGCCCACATAAGGATGAGTCAAAATGGAGACGAGAGGAACTTGAATGCGGGAGGACGACAGAAGAATCCGTCATGAAAGGGAAGGGCATAGAACAACTCAAGATTGAGAGTGAGACGGTAACAAATACAAGCATCAAAAGTTGGACACTGTGGAGGGGTTGACCCCCTCCAAAGCGGAAGAAAGAAAACGGCCCGCATGGGAGGAACCGGTAGTAGAAGCACCGGCCTCCATAGCAAGAATGATTGAGGAAAGGATGAAAGCGAGGTATGAATGTGAGGCGAGGCGACCAAGAAATTCTGGACCACGACAGTGCTCGGGGCGAGCATCACTGAAGAGAGGGGCAGATGCAGTTGGATGACCAATGCAGACGTTGCCAGCAGAACACCTTAGGAAACGAAACCAATTGAGAACCTTTAGGCTGTTCAGGGACAAACAACCTTTAGAAGGGACCAATGTCACATGTTCAGAATCCAGAAGACACTTCCATAGTAATGCTAGAACAGACCATTGAATAGGTAGCGACAATAGCGGTATTGTAGCCCCAACAGTTGGCCGTTGCGTAGGTATTGCAGTATCAACAAAGCATATCCCTGGTAACAGACAACAGAGGGTCATTTGCATAGCAGCGGCCGAGGTTATAAAAAGGGGTTCAATGCATTCGCCAGACAGTCTCGGAGCAGATGCCAAGATACAGAAGTAAGTCCTGGAATAGCCGCTACAGAAGACATTCGAAATGTAGCAGCCGAGATCAGTGGTACAAGAAGTAACTATAACAGTGAAGCAGTGGATAATAATTGTACTCATAAGTGTATAAGTGAAGCGTCCAATAAATATTCGCTGAATCCGAGACCCACGCATAGTTATTTGTTGCATGCCATACTCAACATGTGACAATAAGTTTACTGTACTTTTACAGCATGTATTTCATAATGTACTATCAAGCATCCAGCTTTACCTTCGCAACTGCAGTTCAGTAGTGCGTGAATATGGTAATCATGTGTTTGCCTGATGATGGCTTTAATAGCTGAAACATGTAACCATGCTAATTTTAGCCTTGATTGTGTTGTGACAGACTAATAAAGAAACTGTATGACTATATTTGTCACCTGTGCTATATTTATTACTAGTAAAACATACAAACCTGAATTTATACCCCATTCATAGAAGTTATCATCAGAATCATTCTCACAGTCACTCGAAAAATCATCTTCTTCTATGGAGAGGTTTGCAATATCACTTAGCAGGTTGGCCCTCAGCACAGGCTTTCCTCTAGCAGCAGGCGTGACACTAATAACAGAACTGATTTAATGTAACAAATTTCATCACCACAGCATCCAGGCTAACTCTGTGGCCCACCCAGCCTCCTATCCAAAGGGTACTGGGGGCTTCTTCCCTGGGAGTAAAGCAGCCTTGGCATGAAGCTGACCACTCATCTCCATCTAGTGCCAAGGTCAAGAATGAAGTTATACCTCCAACCCCCATACGTCCCCAAGGCGTGGTGTTTAATGAAACATACGGACAACTTCACTTCTCCCCTTTAAAGAAAACCTAAAGAAAAACTCCGTGATTTTAGTCCACAAGTGAACTATACCGACCAAGCGACCGCCACCTGTCGGCGAAATTTAGTGCCAACCTTTGTGAATAGAGGGTGTCGTATGGTCAGTGCAATGAATCCCCACAGACGTTAATTTCGGTTTTCTAGACCAGAGCCACTATTTCCTTGAAATAGCTCCTCAATTATCATCACAAGGCTGAGTGGACCCCGTTCCAGGCCCACTATTTCTCAGAAAAAAATCTGGTAGCGCCAGGAATCGAACCCAGACCTCTGGGTCTGTAGCCAGGCACACTGACCACTAGACGACCTTTTACTTTTACTAAAGTTCACCAAATTTATGCAGCATGGATATTTTATTGATAGTAATGTGACACCAATGCATTTTTATTTTGGTATATCTTTTTCAAATTTGTGACAAGTTGCCTTAGTTAAGTTACAACAGTTTGTGATTGGGCTGCCTTAAATAAAACTCACATTCAGACAGACTTTATGAAGACTGGGTAAGTTATAACCACTTACATTAAGTGTAACATAATGTGACAGAAAGCTGCTGGTTGATGGGCGGGTTACCTTGCATAAGAAAATCACATGCTGTCACCTGATCTATTTGGAAGTTCTGCCCATGACAGAAAAACGTCTTCAGTAAAGCAACTTTTTTTCCTGGATATAACAGCTACATTTGGAGCATAGCTCTGTATGGAGCTGAAACATGGACACTTAGGGCAGTAGATCAGAAACATCTCGAAAGTTTCAAAATGTGGTGTTGGAGAAGGATGGAGAAGATCAGTTGGACCGATTATGTGAGAAATGAAGAAGTGTTAATTAGAGTCAGTGAGCAGAGGAATATCCTACATGAAATAAGAAAATGGAAGGCTAATTGGATTGGTCATGTTTTACGCAGAAACTACCTTCTAAAAGAAGTTATCAAAGGAAAGATAGAGGGGCGGATGGAAGTGACAAGACGACGAGGATNGCCTTCTAAAAGAAGTTATCGAAGGAAAGATAGAGGGGCGGATGGACGTGACAAGCCGACGAGGAAGTGGACGTAAGAAGATGCTGGATGACCTTGGGGAGAGAAGAGGATGCTGTCATTTGAAGGAGAAAGCTCTAGATCGCATTAGGTGGAGGAACTGTTTTGGAAGAGACTGTGAACCTGTCGTCTTGACAGATTACTGATGATGATGATGATGATGGTGATGATAACAGCTGCTATTAGCAATGGCCTCCAAGATATGAGCACATTTCAAATGACACAATACATTCCACAAATGCCGAAATTCACCTTCCATTATTTTTAGAGTAAATTCTACATTCTACATTTTGATATGTAAAGCCTCCTTCTGTTTAAAATTTTCCCAGGGATAACAACACACAAGTGCGAAAGGAAGTGACAGGACATGAGATTCCGAACTGAATGGTAGCAAACATTCCCCACATTTAACACAATACTGATTTGTTAGCATCATCTACAAATATCTGAATTCTACAAATTTTACTCCCTTACAGTATGAATTTTGTCTTAACATGATTTAATTAATCTACTCTGAACATGCAAAATCAATGAGAATGTTGTACTTCTCTCCTGACTAAGCCATAAGCTTTCTTAGCATCTAAGTATCTTGAGGTAATGTCTAATGATACTCCATTTTTCTCCAGTACCTAAATAATACATGTAGAATAGTTTATAAGCAGTTGATCCATTACATCAAAAACTACGCTGAAGAGCCCCAATTGTTTTGTCCATGCATGTAGTAAACTCAGGTATAAGAAAGTTGCTTAAAATTGTGTATACGTCATTGAGTAAATCCCCTTTGCAGAATCCACTTTCCATCGGTCCTCTAAAAACAATCCTCATCCCTATTCCTGGCTCTGATTAGGAAATTCTCCTGTCCTCCATGACCTGGTCCTCCCCACCTCTTCTACATAACCTCCCTCTTCAGAATGCTTCTATGACTAATAATGAGGCAGCGTGTTCCTCCTTTCAGCACACTGGCTACTATCTACCTGATGACATGGTACCATAACCCAACATACAACGTGAATTCTGTATGAAGGTGATCATGGTGATATTCCTGATAATTACTACAGTCTATTCACCCTTTATAATCCTATATCACCTTTCTTACGGTATTACATTTCTTCCACTCCCGTAGCAATTCTTCCTCACTCCACATTGAATGAATAAATTTGTGTAGCTTGAAACTTAAAAAAAGAAGCACCTCACTTCAGGGAACACTGATTTAGCGCAGTGTTCGGAGTCTTTTTTTTTTTTTTTATTTTACATGCCTGACACCCCTTCCAGACTTGAACATTTCGGAATATAGACATGGATGTGACAACAGAAAGCGCGAGAACATAACGCAACAAATTCGTCTCGAGTCTGGTTTTATATAAGCTTAATTTCATTATATGTTACTACAACTACATACGTCTCATTTTCTGCTTCGTCAAACTGGCCGTCTTCTACGTCCGCCATAGTGAAATGCAATCACGAAAACATGTTATGGAACAATTATATTGCAACACATTGCAACTATAGATTCCTTCAGTTGCACAACCATCGATTAATAGCTCACACGACTTTCAGAAATATCGAATTTGTTTATTCTTTTCAGAGAATTTCCCTCAAATTGGTATAATTTCCCTAACCTGATGCCCCAACAGAAACATGGACAGCCACACAATCGAACCAACCTAAGGTAAACCAACAAAGCCGTAAGACAAATACGTGCTTAGGGAAGAGATTTTAACCCACATAACCTACAATAGCCTGAGGCAATTACATATGAATATCAGAATAGCATTGCAGCGAGCGTATCCCAAATTTATTAATACATATCGTCCATTACCAATCAACCAAATATACCTCTTTAAATGGAGCGTACGCTGAAGTAACTAGTCAGAAAAGGGCGTTGTAAGGCAGGTTGGTAACTAAATAATTCCGGTAAAGAAACGGGAAGTAAATGAGTTTAAAAATTACTAATTTCGTGGGGGTTAAAATAGATAGTAACCTCAGCTGGGAAGTACATATTAAAGGAACTTGCATCAGAATTATTCTAGGTAATAGAGGACACGTTTCGGAAACTGGATCTGTTACTGTGTTCAGGTGAGAAAGCTAATCTAAATCGTCCAGTGATTGAGATTAGCACTTTCCAAGGGGCGCATCTGAGTACATGTCTTCCTTTCTCACCTGAAGACAGTAACAGATCCAGTTTTCGAAACGTCGTCCTCCATTGCCTAGAATTCCGGACAATGGAAAAAGTCCAAAAACCTACTAATTCTGTGTGTCATCCTCCATCGTTAGAACCCTTTAGAATCTACTCCCATATTGGACATGGATATTTTCTGAAATCCTACATTATGCATTAAGCTCCAGCCATGGAGACCTAAGGAAAATTATCACTATACGTAGTGATAACATGTTACATCATGTCATAATGGAGTCTCTGACTACAGAGACCTTATACCATTTTGAGTTCTGTCTTTCTGATTTATATACTCCCTATTTGTAAGCACTGATATTGAAAAAAAAAAATGCTAAAACTGTTCACAAAGATGAATTTCAAGCCAGAATGTCAGATGGTTTTGCATATGCAGATATGCAACACAAAAAGGCTTTCAGTTTGGTTGGGAGATTAGAATGTTCTTTAAATGTATAAGATGTAAAAGATTTGAGGAGCTTCATAACATATATGCTTCGTCAAACAGAATGATCAAATCAAGGAGGATGAAATGGACATGGCATGTAGCCTGGATGGGGTAGAAGAGGAATGTGTACAATGTTTTGGTGGGAAAGTCATAAGGAAGGAGACCACTAGAGAGACCTAGACATAGGCAGGAAGACAATATTAAAATGAATCTTAGAGAGATATGATGGGTGTTATGGACTTAATTCATCTGAATCAGGATAGTGACATGGTGGGCTTTTGTGAACATTGTAATGAACCTCCGGGTTCAACAAAATGTCGGTAAATTCTTGAGTAGCTAAGCAACTGGTGGTTTCTCAAGAAAGACTTGGCTCCATGGAGTTAGTTAATATAATTTGACTAAACTTCCTTATGTCTGCTCTCCAAAACTCAAAAGAGTTCTGTCCAATCAGCACATTTTGACCTGATGGGAAAGTAATCACAGATTTGTTCCATTTTCCAGCTCTCAGCATAGGGATAGCTCAGTCAGCATAATGACTAGGCTACAGGCTTGATGACCAACAAATAAGGCTCTAAATCCTGGCAGAGGCAAGAGATCTTTCCCTTCATCATAATGTCCTGACTGGCTCTGGGGCCTGTTTCTGCAGGAGTAAAGTGGCAGGGGTGTGAAGATGACCACTCATCTACATCTAGTGCTGAGGTCAAGAATGGTGAAGCTACACCTCCACTCCCCTATATGTCTTCATGGCATGATGCTTATTAAGCCTAGGAATAACTTTGCCTTTATGTGCATACTCATATTTTGAACACAGAAATATCAGTATTTCATTATGTTTTTCAGTCATGCCTAAACTGTTATCGGGGGCACATGGTAGCATGGTTGAAGCACTATGCTACAAGCCGGAAGGTCACGGGTTCAAGTCCTGATGAGGTCATTGGATTTTTTTCAATTTACCTAATCCTTCCGGCCACACTATGGCCCTGGGGTCGACTCAGCCTCTAACAGAAATGAGTACCAGGAATATTCCTAAGGGGTAAAGTGCGGCCAGTGCGTAAGGCTGACAACCTTACTGCCATCTGTGAGCCAATTGTCTAGAAAATGTGGGACCCTCAACATCTCACAACCCTATGGGCCTTCACGGCCTGTTACAGGGATAGCTTTACTTACTAAACTGTTATCTGTTGATGTTTATGCAGTATTTCAAGAGCCACCTAGGAACTATAACATACACACTCTAAATTTATGACCGTGAGAATATAACAGGGATGTTATGCAAGAAATTTCTGACCACGGCTTTGAATGCAAGTTTAAAATATTAAAAAAAAATTCTCTGTCATCAGATATTATGGCATCACTTTGGTATATATTGCTCTGTTACTTTCCAAAACCAATAAATCATTCTACATCCAAGAATAATTTCTAAAATAAATGTAACTTAGATACTTGATGCAATGCACATGATTTTGAAAATGATGTGTAGAGAAAACATTTGTGTGTCAAATATTCCAAAAAAGACAAAAATATATTTAAACTTCATCAGTTTACTTCTCTTTACTGAAGTGTATAATCAAACTCACCAAATGGTGAGGTTCACTTAAATCGATTCACAGCATTTAAAAAGTGAAGAGGTGTGAGGGTTGTCTTCTGAATTGTTATGACTGGGAACGCTGTACAACTTATAACAAGAAACACGATATTTCAACAAAATGTCTTTCACATGTTATGGAATGATAAGTCCACAATTCATATCACTGAAACTGAAGGATCGTTCAATTTCTGCCAGCCACACGGCAATCATAACTTTATTTGTAAAACTACACCATGTGTAACATATTGGTAGAACTAGAGGAAGTATGTGGTGAATGCATTCTGTAGTGATGTCGGTACTTGATGTAAACAGCACACCAACTTGAAGTGGTCCATACACGTGCACAGTTCTCCTCTAGTTCTACGCCTGCCGCTATTTTGCTTGTGTCATGTTCTGCAACTGCTGTTTGTACTCCTCGGCTTCACGTTCCTTACGACTATACAGCTTTTTGTATTCTTCTGCCTCTCTCCGTGCTTCCTGCAGTTGCCGTGTGATGGTTGCCAACTCGTTTACATTAGATACTGACAATGTCATAGCATTCATCTGTGAACATAAAGTAAATAATTTATTTCTTTTTGCTTACTGTTACCATTCCAATTCGTGATACCTCCCACAAATCCAACTAAACTAGCCCACTGAGTGTCACATTGTAATAAGATGTTTAGTGAACTCAGATCTGATCTAACTGCACAGAACTCCCCATTCTACCACCAATCACTTCACTAATCTAACCCTAACTTGTTAACAAATGTTATACACAGTTGCTTCCCATGTCATAGGCCTATTCCTCAATTTAGCTAAACCTCCAACATAACCAGATATACTTAAGAAGGATCTGAAACGCATCATTATCAAGTAGTCAGGGAGCCAGGCCATTCACTGACCTGTGGTCTCCTTCCCTGAGATTTTGAACAAGAATTCTGTATGCATGAGCTATGAAACTATGCAATGAAGCTGACCCAGCTCCAATACATACTGTATTTTTTGAAGCAGTGGAGACGGGTACGCCTGCTCTAGTCACCAGTAATTTAGCAGGAGGACCACTGAGACTATCAGGATCAACCCGTTTCAGAATGTTGGGTCCACTCTTGCCAATGATCTGTCCTGCACGTATAGTAATAACTTTCTTCTTTGCTGTAGCTGGGAGTGTTATGGGCGTGGCTTTGCGGGATACAATAGCTGCTGTGTTACCAGTTGTGGTCTTAGAATAACCTGTGTTGCTTGTGTTCTCTTGTGTGAGATTTAAGGCCAACTTTCCTGCTTCTGTGGAACAGAATAAGGCAATGCATGAAACAAGAACAGGAATGATATATGTTATAGTCTACAAAAATGTAAAACATACAGATTTTTAAATGTTTATGTATACTGGTTTTGTTTGCAAGACAGCAGAATGATAAAATTTAACTCCACACAAATTTTTGTGAAATTAACATGGGAGGCCATACCTAAACTTTATTAAGTAAATTCTGGTCTATATTGGACAAACTGAACAAATAATTTATATGACACTGTGAACTGTGAAGAAAAGAAAAGGAGTGGAAAGGAAAATGATGAAATATATATTAAAAAAAAACAACATTAACCTGTTATATTTAGAGATTTTTATTGAATTTTTACCAGGGCTTCATGAATGAATGTATGTATGAGGGGTACGCCTTCTCAGCCCTTGCACCGCGACCTACAGTGGTCTATTGTGCTTATCAGGGCTTCATAGTAAAATCTAAACTTAAAAGTTGTAATTTTCAACTGAGAAGTCATATCAGCCACGTATACCCTGGCCCCATTAACCGAGAGGCAAAATTTATGCTCAAGAATATCTCATTTAATATCCACTGGATTAAAAAAAAAATTGAAGCTATGTGTATCCCAGTATTTGAATTTATTCTACTTAAAAATCTATTCTGTGACCAGGAGTAAATTCTCTCAATCCTTCAGATGTGTCACCTGTCAAGTCTGTTGCATTAACTCTTATCCCTCCAAACAAATTTATACTTCTCTTCATGCACAGCTCTGATTTTTTTGCTTTTACAAAAGTGTGATGAAATACTCTTGTAGACAATAGCCACATAGATCACAAACAAGTAAAGACACATACTGTAATTCAGTATATATTTAGTGATAACATTGTCTTGTGGCCTAATAGAATTAAACAGAGAAATCCACGTGGGGGAACCCCAGCATGACATTAATAAGTTTGGGGCTACCCTGATAACAGTTTGTCATGTAAACATCACAGAATTTACCTGTCAGCACCACAGTCTGACCACTCTCCACAGCTGAGGCTACAAGTGTGGTCTCGTCTGCAGGTAACATCGTAATACCATGCGCTTGTAGAAGTTTCAGTGTAGCACTACCTTGATGTCTCTTTTGGTGTGAAGAGCCTTCTGGAACAAATACTGCATAAGTAAGCCCTACAAGAAACACTTCCCACAATAATGGTGGAATAAAACATGTAATAAAGAAAGCAGTTTTCTGGGATTTGGCACCGTGTATATGTGGTGTTAACCGACGTTTTGGAGGAACGTATCGCCTCCATCTTCAGGGTAGAAGAAAAAATATAAGAAATCTGCAAGCGAAGAGACCGTGAGAACCGGTAAAAAGCCTCAAATCTTACAAAACATGTAATAACTCGTATTATGGTACATGACCCAAAGCTTCTCAACAAAAATAAAAGTTAAATATAGAAAAGAAAATACAGTATCAGGAAACACAAAGACAAGTGATTCCCCATCCTCTTTCCTCTTTCTGAGACCAAGCGTTTAACTGACAGCTACAGAAAAACAGCAAAAAATATACCTGTATTAACTGATGTCCTAGCCTTCTTCGGGAACTGTGCCAGTACCTCTCGCCTCTCCACCGGGCTTGACCGTGATGATACTATTTCTGTAATAGAATTGTGTGTATCAGTGTTGTTAGTCCCTGGTAAGCCAGAAAATACAGGTCTCTGTACTGTCACCATTTTGTCATTCCATCCTAATTTAGTGTTTGGGTTAACTGTGTTCTTACATACTTCCTGTAGCTTCTTGTTGAGCAGAAATTTCCTCTTTTGATGGGGTTCATTTTTGCAATATGCTATCTATATTACAGTCAGATGTAAAGCTCCATCTAAGTACATCTGGTTCATGTCTCATGTTATTAATATCACAACATGTTTCAGTCTCACAAGACCGTTCTGAGGAAGTGTACATATTAAGAGGAAACTTTACATTTCGTATACATAAAAATCAGAGTCATACATTAATATTAATATTAAAACCAATATTTTGTTCAAATGAACAAATTTAAGTTGTCATTAAATTCTGCATAGCACAACCATAATCACAGAATGCATTATTGACCTACATCTGGGAACTGTTTAACTATTTTGGAAATCAGTGCTATATTACAGATCAAATAATTGTATTCACTTGTGTATAAATAGCTACTCTACCTATTCATATAAAGAAATGTACTATGCTTGCAAAGTGTAAGTTTTATTAGAAAATGAATGGTTCCCTAATGTAATTTTGTATTATTTCTGTTTAGTGAAAACCTCAATTTACTGTAAGAAAATGCACCCCCCACCTTCACACTCATTAAACAGATTTTTTTAATGTAAGTGTATAATTACTCAAAGTTCATCAAATTGCAATGAAGCAGCCTGAATGTTCTATAATATAATTGCAGACCTGCAGTGGAAGAGGTTGTGGTAGAAGTTTGGACCTCTTCCTGATGGGCAGGGGTGGGCACCTGTGCTAATTCAATTGCGAGACTCTGAGTGGCAGCTAGCGTCGCGTCCTCCATAGCCTGCTGGCTAGCTGAAGCTGAGAGTGATTGTAAAGGTTTCAATCGTTCTGCAGCAGACTGAAGCAGTTGCACAATGTCGTGACGATTGTTGTCAAGTGCAATGTGGAATGCAGTTTTGTCAAACTTGTTAACATCATGGGGGTTAGCATAATTCTGTAAAAGCACCTCCACTGTGTCCACATGCTCACGCTCCACCGCCCAGTGTAGTGGAGTCATACGCAGCTGCAACAGGGCATTTACAACACTATAAAATTAACAAATCATCAGTGTTCCTTGCAGACAGTGCTGGTTGTCTGTCCATCAAAACATTTTATCTGGTATATTTGAATGAAATTTTGTATGGGATAAATACACTTGATCTATCATAGAAATTCCATTTTTTTCTCAATATCAATCCACTATACCACTCACCTTATCACTCAATCATGAGCTGAGCCCTTCTTGAGAAGTTTCCAATTATGCAGCTACTCAAGAACTTCCCAGCATTTTAAAGAACCTGAAGGTTCATTACCATGTTCACAAGAGCCCTCCACTGGTCCCTATCCTGAGCCAGATCAATTCAATCCATATCATCCCATCCTACCTCTCTGAGATCCATTTTAATATTGTCCACCCATCTACACCTTGATCTTCCCAGTGGTCTCCTTCCTTCCAGCTTTCCCACCAATATCTTATATGCATTTCTCCTCTCCCCCATTCATGCTACATGCCCTGCCCATCTCATCCTCCATGACTTGATCATTCTAATTATACTTGGAGAAGTGTACAAGTTCCACTTACCATATAAGATACTTAAATCTACTTTGCCTGTTGCCTAGGGTATTGATCACAAACATGTTTTAGTTCCTTAAAACAACTATCCTTTGAATCAATTTTGGAATTATAAGCCATCCAGTGTAAACAAGTTTAATGTAAATAATCCAGTTATTTATATATTTATATGGCCTTTGATAAACATTAATTATTTTAACATGGGATATTTCACCATTATATTTGTATTAATTTTTTAATGAAAAGTCATTCAGTGTGAACAAATGTAATGCAAATAAATTATTTATTTATTTTTGCTTACATTAAACTTATTTACACTGGGTGGCTTGTCATTCCATAATTAAAACAAGTGTTACAGCAAAGACATCTCATGTTAAAATCATTTGGATAATTACATTTATCCTGGGTTTGGACATACATATTCAGAATAATATTATTACACCAATATTCTTTTTGTATTCTCACATGTAGGATAGTACACTTGGCAAAATGATGGGTTCTAGTTTGGATGATTGGATTTATTGGCACTTTGGTTACAACCTCTCTTCTCTTAATCACACTGAAGTACAGGAAAAACAGTGCTATCGCTGATTTACATGCTTTCCATTTCACCGTTGCAAACACATTAGGATTCTCCGTCTTCATTAGTCGTCTCCTGGCAATGGGTCTCAACACAGAAATTAGCACTTCAAATCACTATGAGGTCCTCTTGCCATTTCTTGTTCAATCACTCAGGAACTCAACTGAACTCTGTCACTGTCACTTAAAAATTGTAATCTGTTCTGCCTGTAACTGTCATTATATAGCTTCCACAAAGACCACCACAGAAAACCCAGTTCTGTTTTTGCATAAGGAAGACCACACAGAGAACAAGTCACGTAATTCCTCGTGAGCATCTTCATTGGTGCACTGTTGCCTAGCAACATGCAATAACATTCCTCCACTGAGATACATCTTCCATTGTTGCCTTGTGTGTATTCGGTCATGGTATGTTTACCAGTCCCTTACCTAGTAACGCTCTGGCCATTCACGTTACAGTATTATAAACAAAATCCTATCACCAATAAACTCCATCCTCTGAATTTCTTATCTGAGTCCCTTATGTACAAAAAAGACCATCACTGAGTGAAATTATCTAACATCCTGTACCTGTTTTCAAAGAGTCTGACCTGTAGAGAATCCTCACATTCTAAGTTACAATTCTCATTGCCATTTTATGTTCCTTAGGTCATTACAAATCATATGTCTAAATCTGAGGTCATGTGTAGTGTTTTGTAATGTGCAAGTTATTCACATGGAATTAGCCTCATGTTCAAGCCCTCATACCAAAGGACAGATATTTATGAGCTGTCCAGAGTTGCTTAATCAATATGGTCACAGCTACCTTCCTTGTGTGGAGACCATCCCCTCCATCCACAACTTCATGATGTGCCAAGACATGGTGACAAGACCAATCTAACATATTGTAACGTGTTTTGCCATTGAAGACGCCGTTCAGATTGTTAATTGGTTTATTTAACAACCTACAAGTCTTGGCTACAATTACTTATGACACTGTTACGGGTTTCCACAATTTACAACCCTACACAATAATCTGTCCACTCTGTCCTCAGTAGTCTACACGTATTTACAGTACGATTCGGGAGCTATTCCAGTGTCACTGTATCACACACTCCCAATTACTTCTCTTGTGAGCCAAGCATCTGCTTCTCACACTATCACTGCTAATCACATGTTCAGGTATTCTTCTTTCCGGTCAGCTACTGTTCCATCCGCACTGTGTCACTCCTGCTCACACACTGACTGACTCCCTGGCTAACTCGTAACTAACTGTTGAATAGTGTTCACTGCTTCTTATTTAGCCCCGTTACGGACAACACAGAAAACAGTTATGTAATAGGTACCACTGTTGCGTAATGTCGTGTTTACCGACTGCTTAGGAACAGTCATTGCACGGACTCCCCGCCGTGTTTACGAAGGCGTTGCTGGGCAGCACTGCCGGGAGTTGTTTACAGCTATGTAGCAACTGCAGCGTCCTGTGTTATGTTACCGTGGGGAAAGGGGTGTCTACCGAGCGTTGTACACTGAATGATGGAGTGGGGGTATGTGACATCACTCACAAGATCACAGAGTTCATGCGACCCCCACCTCCCGCTATGCCATCCACGTCACAATATTATTTCTTTCTGGTCACCAATTGTGTGAGAATTAGTAGTGAACCCTTCATAGTTATAGGTTTAGAGGCATTTGTTTAGGGCTAAGTAAGTAAAAAAGTAAAGGTATCCCTGTAACAGACCATGGAGGCCCATAGGGTTGTGAGATGTTGAGGTTCACACACTTTCTAGACAATTGGCTCATAGATGGCGGTAAGGTTGTTAGCCTTGCATGCCGGCCAGCCTTTGGCCCCAAGAATATTCCTGGTACTCATTTCTGTTAGAGGTTGAGACGACTCCAGGGTCATAATAAGGGTGGAAGAATTAGGTAAATTGAAAAAAATCCACCTCATTGAGATTTGATCCTGCAACCTTCCAGCTTGTAGCACTGTGTTTAGGGCTTTCCATAGAAAGTAGTTATATGTGTTTAACTCAGATGACAAAGATGACCAATCTCAAAATTTTGGAGTTTGGATTTCACACATTATTTAACAAAAGGAAAAAAAAAAAAAGAAAGAAAGAAAGAAAGAAATGAAAAGGACATATTAGACAAGTTGAATGAGAAATGAATTTTTCATGTTGACTTGGTCTTTCAAAATCTGACTCATAAAATCTGAATTCATTATTTTTATTTTAGGTAAAACTGAAATGGTTCAAAAAATAAATGCCACTATATATTTTATTTGTGAGTGAAAATCAAGGACTCGCAATGCCTCACCATGTCTTTTGAGTCCACTTCTGCTCCATGGGATAGCAACAAACGTACAATGGCGGTGTTTCCTTCCTGAGCTGCAATGTGGAGTGGTGTTCGTTCAACTTTTGTTCTAGCATCACGTGATATCCCAGCCCGCAGGAGTACTTCAGCAGTACTGACGTGACCATACTGAGCTGCAAGATGGAGTGGGCTGGTTCCCAGCTGTCAACAGATCCAGTATATGGATACTTACTACCCCAGAAAGCGGCCTCTGTAGTCTAGGGGTAACATTCCCACCTCATGACTCAAGGTACGCGGGTTCAAACCCGGCAGAGGTCGAGGAATTTTTAAGGGCAGAAAAATTCAGGGAACAAGTCCTCCGGGAGGGACTTTAAGCCATGGGTCCCGTGTCGTAGCTTTACAGCATGTAAAAGAACCTCATGTCTCAAGGAGACCACTGAGCCAAATTTGTAAGGACATTTCCCGCCCAACAATAGTCTCTAACGCCTCTAGTAGAGGGGGGAAGCATCTAGATACCACTGAGCCAGTAGAGGCTGAACTCACTGGCTGAGTCGGGACTGATGGCACGCACCAGTACCGGTAGGGTATAGAGACTGGTAGAATATCACAAGGGACGTACAATAGACCACTGGTCGCGGTGCATGGGGAAACCCACCCCCTCCAATAATAATAATAATAATAATACCCCAGAAGGTCAGACAAGAATTTCGTGTGTTTTAGCATCATGTATTCCTGAACTTATTCTGCAATCAACACAAATCTTTACTTATATTTCTTACTGTCTTTACATATCTGAAGTTCAAACGTGAGAAAACCCCAAATAAAAGAAATTTAAAATTTATATACTCAGTGGACAGTCATGGAAACTGAATACTCAGTGTGAGAAAAGACTTGACATACTGAAATTTAAGTACTTTCAACAGAAAAACTGTCATTTTTAAAAAATACATACAACCAAAAAGCTAAAAAATGATCAATACCAAATGGATATCAAGACAGAAATTCCAAACAGTTGGAGTAAATTCTGAACATAAATTACATGAAAACTCTTTATTATTCATATCTAATTCAAACTAAATCCACAGATCAGAGACATTCTTATGAAGACGATAAGCATTCCATAGGCCAAAAAATTCTGTGCCTGTTACGGAACTGCCATGTTCAGTACTGTCTTTGCAAGTGCCAGCCAATCAAAATGCACACATGAAATAATGTATGACTGGTTCTAAATGAGTTACACAATATAACATTAAATTGGAATTCCACTATATTACATGCCTAAGATTTAACCTAAAACTATCTAATGTATGATTCTCAAGTTTTTAGCATGAATGAAAAACTTTCTTTTGTGCTAGGCTAAAATAGAAGACAATTGTGTGTTATGTTGCAATTACATAGGCGATATGAGAGAAAATACAAAGTACCAGGAGGCTGTAATACAAATGTCATGCATCAGGAGAATGCTGAACAACATTCTTTTTTCTTGCTGAATTACTTCTATATTATGCAACAACCTGTGAACTTACCCAGTCAGTAGTGAAAGGTGCACCTTTGCTCATGAGAAGTCGCACTTGATCTGTGTCACCTTCCTTGGCACTCAGTAGCAGTTTCTTCCCCAGTTCAACCAATGAGAGTGCAGGAGCACATGGACGCACCGTTGTGACATTGCCAGAAACATCCAAGTTCCGAATTGCCACACATTTGCTGTTATAAGTCTGTGTAAGTAATAAAAGTGGCCATAACAACACTTAATATAAGGAATTTTGTATAAGCAAACTTGATAACCACAACTGTCTGTAATTGTAGGTACACGTAACGAAGGAAAATCTGAACATAAAACTGGATACAGAATAACAATACGCTTCTAACTCTGAGCTTCTTAATATATGATGTCACAAGAGATCAAAGGTTAATTATGATAATTTGCTAAACCATTTAAATTCAGTGTAAGCTAATCTTACAGGGCAGTTAATTTAAACTCCTTTTACTTCCTAAATTTTCTAAAATTTGAAAACATAAAAATTTCATAAACTTTAAAAAATTAAAAAACTATCTAGTTTCAGAAATTCAAAAATCTTTTAAAATGTCATGATTATGTACCCTTCAGACAAGAAAAAAGATTTGAAAATTATAAAATAAAAAACATAGAAATATTAAAAATTAAAATTTTTGAAGATATAAAAGAACTGAAATTTCTCAAATGTGCATATTATTCGACCATCAAAATTTTAATATAATTCACATTACAAAATATTTTTAAAATTTAGAATATTGCAGATTTTCCAAATTTGTGAAATAAGGACATTTTCAACAGTACAAAAATCTGGAAACTTTCAAATTGTTCCAGTAACCTAAGAATACTTAACATTTTGAAAATCAGATTTTGGAACATGTCTCCATACACACTGTAATGAAATGACCCTAAATATTAATGATTTGGTTAGCACATGTTCCCACCTTAAATGGGTTATCACTGAATTCTACATCTATGCGCTACATAACACTAGTATAGCAATCACACGAAAAGAAATGGGACTACCCAAAGATCAGTTATGTGAAATGTTCCTTTAATAACTGCCACTGTAATACTCTTATTCATATGGAAGAAATGTAAGACATTATTTGTATGGCATTCTGTGAATTTATGGCTCTGTATCCTGTTCTTTTAAACAGTATGTTTTGCTTTAAACTGTAATAAACATTTTACCTCCATTCAAAATCATGATTAATTTTCCACTGTGTGCCCAGTTCATGTATGAAACTGTAAATGTCCCCTTACCTCCAGCATAAATCAGAACACATCCATGGTATATGTCATGGACAAGTGCTTTATTATACGTGGTGCGTTCCATATATAATGCCTCCTATTTTTTTGTGTTAATATGTAACGTCTGAGCTGGATATTGGTGGTGTTGTAGTAAAGGTTGAACCTTCCCACCAATGTACTGTTAATTTGGTTGTCGTGCGACAGATAGCGACAGCAGACCAGTCTACCAAAATGGCGCCTGACATAGAAGTGCGTATTAAAGAGAAATGTGTTATTGAATTTCTCACTGCCAAACAAATTGTACTCATTGACATCCATCGGCACTTGCTAAAGGTGTACGGAGACAATACAGTGGATGTCAGCACAGTGATTCGATGGATAGTGCGTTTCAACAGTGGCGAAAGTGAAGTGCACGACAAGCCACGCCATGGGCGTCCCTGCTCAGCTGCCACTCCTCACAATGAACAGCGCCTCATCCAAACAGATCAGCAGATAACAACCAGGGACTGTCAATTCTGAACGCTACAAGACGACGCTGACTAAGCTGAAAGCCCGTATTTCCCAAGTGAGGCCAGAGAAGCAGATAACCTTTCGCTTGCAACACGATAAAGCTAGACCCCATACCAGTTTGGCGATCACCGGGCACATTGCAAAGTTGGGCTGGACTCTCCTACCACATCCACCTTATAGCCCCGATTTAGCACCTTCAGACTTCCATCTCTTTGGGCCTATGAAAGACGGACTACGTGGGCAACATTTTCCAGACAACGATGCTGTCATTGCAGCTGTAAGAAAGTGGATAGCCTATGTTGGCGCAGACTTTTACGGGCACGGCATACAGGCTCTTGTACATTGATGGCAAAAGTGCATAACGAATGGTGGTGATTATGTGGAAAAATAGCTGTAAGTAGCTGAAATCTTGCTCTATTTAACTGCGTTATTATGATTTCTGTATCTGTTGTAGTTTTCTTTAAAAAAAAATAGGAGGCATTATATACGGAACGCCCTTAGTACTACTCTACAGACATTTTTATAAAAAGTTTAAAAGAATGGGATGGCCACCACTGTGAATATGTGCAGTTTGAGGGGCACAGACGTTCTGAGGCATGGGCATAGCAGTGTACGGTAGTGTGATTTACCTCTGCTAAATACTTACTGGGATGAGCATGGTTGGGTCTAAGGATTCAACTTCTTCAGTAGCCATTATTGCTTGCATGTTGTAGCCTGAACTATAGTCGAAAGAGGTAAGTACCTGAAGTCAAAACATTAATATATTTAACAACATTATGTAATACTACTTTTCTTAATACATAAATATGTTGGTTATGTTACGTTACATAACCTACGATTTTCAGGTTATATATGTTAAATACCTATAAAAATGAAAAAAATAACATTTATTTGATTCGGATTGGAATTATTTCATATAAATAGGAAGTACTGCATTACGTTTTGAAATCTGTAACAAGGAACTTTAAATTACATCAAAGGACATGTTATTGCATTAAATCGTGTTCGGAAATATGAACTCATTAACCATCCCTTCTGAGTAACAGGATGTTTTCGTTTTCGCCATTTTGAAGCCAAACTTCCTGTTCCTGTTCCAAAACGGAAGTGATTTGCTATAGGGTCCGATAATTTCTCAAATATGAAAGTAGCTGGCATAATAACGAAACGTATACCCATACTCACCAGAGTCCTAGATTTCTTTAAATCATTTTTCACCTGTATTCGCAGTCGATGCAACCTGCCAACACATCAAAACAATCCTTTCACCATGTCACAGCCTTCAAAATGGTATTTGGGGTGTTAGTGTTTCACACATGCCTGCTTAAAAGTTCCAAATATTTTAAGCTTTGAATAATAGGCTCATAGATGTCAGCAGTATTGATCGGTTTTGATTAAACAGCAGCAGCAAAATTTGATGCCACACATTCATCTTTAACTTTACATTGATTAGTGATTTACATACTATAAATTTTTGGGTTGCAAATAAGTATTTCTTGATAACTAACATAGCTATAAACGTGCAGTTTAATCGTGTATTAAAGTCTATTGGGAATTTTACACCCATGTAAATGAACGCCATTCCAGAATTTTTCTAGTTGCTTATACGTATACATTTCACACGAATGTAAAGCGAGCTATTTTCACTTCATGGAAGCCTAACAATTTTTCATACCCCGCAAAATACCAAGAATTATATGTACCCATGTATGAAAGAGTAGTATAAATTTAATTTGCCTGATTCCTTCAGTTACGCTTAAGCTACTGGCTTCCATTGTAGGTTTTCCCACTTGGTGTAATGTCGGTTAATTCGATGTAAAGCTTAAAATCTATCATTTGCTTGCAATGAAAAGGCAAATTTGTATGCGCTCAAACTGCTAGGACCATACATATTTCTTACAGTATTTTGCATTTCACTGTTATATAATTCTAGCTTAGAAAGACGGCATGAACACTTCGGCTGGGGTGAAGCTTAGTTTGTATGCGTTCCTGAGCTTCCCGCGAATGATTACTCCCAGCTCCCAACCACACTGTATTGCGTAGTTCATCTGTGACCTACGTTAAAGAAGCATACTACGTAGCCGACGTAGCCTACGTAGTGCAGAAAGTGCAGAACTACAGACTGTGAAGCGTTGCGAGTGATGGAGAGTAAGTGCCTTAGATTTTTGGGTACTGTGACAGTGTTAGACTAGTAAACCATTTGTCTGAAATTCACCACTGGTAAAATTTCGAAGATTTTACGATTTATATTCCTCCGCCAACATCTGTAGCATAGTGATTCCATTGTTGTAGGGTACTGGTTTGATCCTAGAAATTGGTTGTTCTTACAGTCTTTTCGTGTGTTCGATGTTTTTCTAGCGTGCATTAAGCAACATACGTCAAGTTATCTCCCTTTCATTTTAAAAATTTCGATATAAGAGTACCACTGACAAAATCAGTTTTCCGACCTACAGTTCCCCAATTATCTTCGAAACCTCCTGACTTTGAAATAAGTTTTGTGGCCTGTGTTAAGAAAGTTGATGCTTGTAAACAGTTCTGTGTTCTGGGACATAACACCATTACTTTATTGGATTATACAATGTAACCCAGAGCTCTTCATAACTACTGCTGCAAGAACGTGAAACCGTACATTGTGATGTTCTCATAGAGTATGGCCCTGGAATTGTGTATTGGCAATAAATCATTGCAAATATGCAACTTTTTTAAACATGCTCTTTTAACAATGTAAAACGAAGTGGTGGCTGCACGAAAATTATTTGGCATGTAGATTGACCATAAACATATATAATACTTCTGGTATGTCGTCACAGTATTGAGATGCAAAATGATAGGTTATGTCTGATAAATGTTACATATATAACATCTGGAAATTCTTTACAGTTGAAAACAAAGATGTGGCTCAACCAGAAATTGATCTTCACTGTTAACTTATAAATATACAGCATACTTGACATTATCAGCACAATATCCATCTGTGCGGCAAGAAAGGTTTAAATACAGAAGTAACATGAATTTGTGAAGAAATGCATTGTTATGATTTTCCGAACACATTTAGAAGATGAAGGAATCAGTCCAGAGAAATGCCTTTCATGTGTCAGCTCTGCATTTATCATGTTCATTTATTTAGGTTATAATATTTGGATTACACTAGAGTTATTTGTAATATTGAATCCATTGGGGTTTACTGTTTGCATACTATACTGAAAGAATTATTCACTCTTGGCGTTTTCCCCACTCTGCATGGCGTTAACCATTACAACTCAAAGAGACTGCTATGAAGATTCTTACACTCTCTTTGTGTTGGTTAATATGTCTCATACATTCTTCCTGCAAGTTTTGTTAAATGAAATGATGGGCATGATGAAAGGTGTGGGAACACTGAACAGACGTTAGAAACGTACTGCTCTTGTGGGAACAGTTGCTGTAAAGAAACAAAGCTTTATTTCTGAATCGTTAACTGCAATAATTTAATTCTCGGAAGTAACATTCTCTACGGGCAATACCAGTATATCAGAATTGCAACAATTCAACATTTGTTTTTCTGAAACTGGATGACAGCATGGATAAGAAATTCCAATTTCACACAATTGTAATATTGCATTGATATCCCACCTGCTGTGCATTTTACAACAGACGTTCATCCCATGCATGAAGCTGTCTGGTTACTACCATTAAGCTTGTGCAGGCCAAAAGCCATGCTAGATCCTCTCACTGCTGTTCAACATAAGCAGGTGAGGGACACAGCAACAGGTCTTCCCCATACACAGAGTAGTCTGTAGCTAGCTTCACTTTGGTTAAACTGCCAATATTAATTCTGGGCAATACAGTATTGGTACACAAAATATAATTAGAAGGTCTCGAAGATAAAAATGTATTAACTGAGCCATTCAGGTGACAATACACAAAAGTACCATTCTGAAGGCCAAAACTTTTACTGATATGAAACTATATATAAATACTTTAAAATTTACATTAAGAAAAGAGTTCATTGTCACGTGTATTATCAAAGAACATAGACAAAACATGTGGGACTTCTTGGCAAACTGCACAAGTTTGACTGAAACATTAGTGTGTGGTGACAGTTTCCATTGAACCAGCTAGTATTACAATCTAAGAATCAGAACATGCCACCTTAACAAACATTAACTGCACAATACTCACTCTCCTGCCAACTGCTGAGAACTAAACTATCACAAGATTTAATTTCTGTCCTCACATTTTCTTTTTTGTGAAAAGCTCTGATATGTAAAAATATTTGTACTATGGGGCCACTGTATGTAATGCATACCATATTTTACAGGTAGGAATAGAGCCTGTAGTGGGAAATTATATTCAAAAGTATTTTACTTTAATAGTGACAGTTCATTCCCCAAATCCAGACTTATTTATAAAAAGTGACAAAGTCTTGAGAATGATAAACACGAACAGCAGAGGCGGTAAACGTTTTGGTAATGACAGCTTAAAACTTAGTTACAAGATGAGCCACACAAAGCACTTAACCCAGTTAGGGGGCAGTTTCTTTGTGAATTTTCCATCTTAAAAACCAAGGCTCGTCCTACATTTGCATACGAAAATACATTATACCAACAGTCTTGGCATGCAATCCAAACTACCTGTTGCCTATCTCTCACTGATTCACAAGACTCCATGTATTTATTAACACTTTGGGGTACATTTTTTTATTTTGTGTAATATATTGGACTTAGGTTCAAAGCACAGTATATAATTCATCATAATCACTAATATGATCAGAGTCTAAACTTGGGAAAACTGCAGATCAGCAGTAAGGTTTCCTTTGCACTGAAGTGGCTATAGCAAGGAAGTTGATACTGGTTTGCCAGCTCTGTTTTATGTATTTCACAACCACAAAAGTTCGTAGAATATATAGTCTCATATTAATAACTGAATAATGAAATAAAGCAGGAGAGTGCATCTGTCCATAAATCAAGTAAATGTAAGCATATTTGTGTATTCATTGAAGCACAGTCATATAAAAGCCAAAGCCAGCTCATACTGTTTAGTCCAATTTTGTTTACACATAATGCACATACTCATCAAGCAACACACAATATTACAGTGAAGTGCGCAACAAAATGATAACTGGTGTGTGGAAATGTGATATCCTAGTAAATGTACAAAATCATCTTCCCTTTTTAAGCTTCTGATTTTAGGTGCCATTTTTTTATATTGGTAAATATGGTATGTCTCATTAATGACAGCATAGTGTTCCAGGATGAAGGTAGAATAATTATTATAATGTTTACAGAATATTTAATCTGAAACAAAGTGTAGAGTTATTGCATGTACCAATTATGTAGTATGAAAGAAGCAGGCAGTTTTAAAACACATTTTCCCCAAGAAACCTATCGGAAGATCAAGAGATACAGACATGGCGATAAAATGAATACAGCAAACATTATGCTCACATATAATCTCTGCTCAGGAGCAAGCAGAGCCAGTAATATTGTTTCTCAGTGCAGAGTTTTATCACAAAGTTGTTTAATGCCTTTTAAGAAAATACGAGCTAAACTGCTTGCGATTCTCTGAACTGAATTCTGTGAAGAGCCATTAGCAAAGAAATGGAAACACTACAAAAATATGCAGAACAAGGTATGACATGTGCAGTTTATGAACATCATAAAGTATACTGGGTCTTGAATCTGACATTTTAATATTTCAGTTAACATGCTAAAAGGGTTCTATTCTGAGAAAAGTATCAATAGTGAAGTTGTACAATGGGAATTTCAGAGACACACTAAATTCAATGATATTAAACTAAAACACATATATTCCATATGTATATGTGAGAATAACAACTGAAGCTGCATTTATTTTTGTTACATCTGTATTATCATTGTAGCATTTACATCTGACAATACACCGTAGTTTGCCAACCCACTTGCATGTACAGTGCGTTCAGTTAAGGAGGAAATTTCACAACACTGCTCACTGGGCCCAACATTCCTCACAGACTGCTACTGCAACTGCTGATAGCAGAATGAGTCATCAGTGCTGATAAACACGCACTGTTACAGTTACAGCAGCAATCTCTGTGGAATATTGGGCACGGTCAGCGGTGTTGCGAACTTTCCTCCTTGATTGAACACCCAGTATTAGTCATATTGCCACCAGTATGTTGCCTACATGGGTTGCAAAAAAACTTCTGTGTAGGAATGGATCATAAGCCATCTTTTACTATGCAAAACAGTTAACACATATCCACATGGGACCTTTTTAAAAATCCCCATTAACTGTATAGGTTATTTATTATTATAAGGTTTTCTGGCCTGATTAAAGTATGGCAGCTTGGATTTGAAACAACAATAACTGCTTTCTTACAACTTATCACGATTAATATGAATTCTCCCCCAGTTTAAAATATGACAGAAGTTATACATACGTGCATCTGAGTGACAAACTTTGAAACATGATCAAATTTTATTCAAGGCAGTATATTCTGTTTGTGCTGTGCATCCTGAATGACTCAATTCTCAAACAATGAACACAATAATAAATTATACAAATCAACACAGTTTCAATTCCAAATACGAACTAAATGATAATAGTATGTCACGTTCTCACTGCTCCAGTAAACCAGAGCTTCAACATTCACAACAGAAAAAGACAAAAGTGGGCACTACATGGTCACACAATATGACTCCACAATTCTAGTCTCCTTGGTTTTACCTGAACCTTATAAGCTTACACATTAACCTGTAATGTAAGCAAGATTCAGTCATTTTCATGTCTGTCAATTTTAAATCTTTCAAGGAAATGGAATGTTATTGTATATTTAAGGTGTGTGCATGTCATAAAATACTGTAGGGCAATATATAAGTCTCTTTTGGACAAAACCTCTTTTGATTAATATCAACAGAAATTACAGCAAAATAACTTTAGCACAAACCTCAGTACTTTCCTCCATTTTGATGGTTCCTTCCACATGGTTTCTATTCTGAACATGTCAAATATAGGGTCCAAAATAACTATGTCTCTTTTATTACAATTTTCATATGCAACGGAACAAGTAATCCCTTTAAAAGATACTTCAAAAAGATTTTGAGATTTGAGGTCCTTGTGGTAGTATTATGATCCATGATGTGATGCTATGTAGTTCGGTCTGCTACACCCACATTCAGGGAAGGAGATAGAGGTAGCTCAATGAAACTACAGCATTTCACATCACAGAAGACCAGTATTAACAAGATTTTAGAAAAGGGGCTGTTTTGACTGTAAAGGATCTCTGATAAACAACTGAAATGTCCAGATAGGATGGGAAAGTTGATATCTGTGACTATGAAACCATGCTTCCAGAAACATGATTAGAATATGTAAGAAAAATAATGTTGTCTAAGGCAATTTCACTTTTAAAGAGCATGGTGGGAGAATTAAAATATGAAATAATAGCCTTTACACCATGACTGAAATAAATCCTTGGGAACAATACCCTTACCAGCTGTAATCCTGAGCACAACGTAGAAACAGCTACTTTAGAGCCAATGATCTGCATTTTGGAAACACTTTAACATACTTTAGTGTATTTTCTTGCATATAACAATGTTTACTGTTTCTTTATAAGTGAATCTACTCCTTGCATCACCACATAGAGAACATTATTTCTTGCAATACAGCTGTAATCAGAAAATTACAGAACCTTTTATAACATCAGAATTCTAGATTTTGTGGGTATATTAGAGTCTGGTGCCAAAATATATCTACCATGTATCATCCAAATGTTACAGTTTTATCTAGAAATATCTGACATTTTCAGCTTACTATAAATTGCCCTCACAAAGAGCTGCAATCGCTAGGAGGGAGAGGAAAAACTTACAACATAAGGAGACCGTGATTATGGGTACATCATAGTAATGAGATCCATCACCTTACAGATTAATTCATTGTATTCTATCATGATATACATAAAACCAATCCTGTTACTTTCATACACTGAAATCTGGTCCTATTAATCTGTAAGGTCATGTACCATCTTATTAAGAGTGGGACAGCAGTGATCCATGTTACCCACCATGAACATAGCTAACCAAATACTGAACAAAACTCAAGAAGTGCCAGTATCCTGCTAAATAAATACAAACTTTCAAAATTAAAGTTTCCGTAATGAACAAGGAAGAGAGAAAGTGACAAAAAATGACATTTGAACTTAAAAAGAGATCCTTCAACATCATTCATATTGTAATCAGCTTTCCCAAGAACAAAAATATTAATTTTAACTCAAATTTATGTTGAAGATATCACAACTTAAACTACTATCAAACGCAGCTCCTAACAACAGAAAAACTGGCACATTATGAACAGAATGCAATTATTTGGATCAGCAGAGAACACCTAAAGCACAACTTCTCCTCTCTCGCCACTAAGAGATCTGCGATGTAAGATTGATGATTGAACACACAATTTATTATAATAATAATGATTATAAATGACACACGACGGCAGGGCGATGGCATGAACACTGTCTACCGACTGCCACTGCAGCTAAACAAAGCCACATAAAAAATGTTTGCATTGTACGTTAAATAGCACAACACCAGTCTGATAGTTCCGTTTACTTCACCACAGAGCAGCTGTCGACAAATTCAGTTTATGCCGAGCCTACTATACAACACCTATATCTAAATCCTAGCCTCACGAATCACGACGTGGTGACGACCGATGGGGGAGGCGATGGCTGCTTTCAGCTCTGTTTGACACGTTTCCGAGGCGGGCCAATGGGGGGAATCTGCTGCGTGGCCAGCGCTCTGAACGCCTCTGCTATAAGGTGGGGGTGCGACTGAATCATTGATTTCCAGCCTGCAGTCTCCATCACATCTGTTGCATGCCTGCAACAAACAACTTAACATACACAAACCGTCATTTTTACCACTGAAATATTAGCAATATATTTACACTAATGAACAGCTGCTACCTCCTACATAGAATATTTTTACAGTAGTGGTAATGAACACAACACAACAGCATTACCTAGTGGTTCAGCATCTTTACTGGCACTGTGTGGGCCTTGGCCTCCTCGGCCCTAAGCCCAACCCCCAATCTGGAGGACCAACTACATTTTGCCTCGCCCCTCCTACCCTTTGATCTGTCTGGCACCTGTGGCCCTACCAAGAGCTTATGTTGCTGCCAGAATAGCTCTCCAGGTGACTGGGGCACACATACTCCTCTCCATGATAAGGTGGTAGTTCTTGAAGAGTGATTATATTAATGAACTTATTTTCTTCTCCCAAACACTTGCAGTAAAAAGATGAAAGGTAAAGCTATCCCTGTAACAGGTCATGAAGGCCCATAGGGTAGTGAGTTATCAAGGCTCCCACACTGTCTAGACAACCAACTCACAAATGGCAGTGAGGCTGTCAGCCTTACATGGCAGCTACCATTTACACCCCAGGAAGATTCCTGGTACTCATTTCTGTTAGAGGCTGAGTCGACCCCAGGGCCAAAGTGCGGCTGGAAGGGTTAGGTCAATTGAAAAATCCAATGTTTTTATCAAGATACGAACCCACGACCTTCCAGCTTGCAGCATAGTGCTTAACCAACTATGCTACCGCATGTCCCCTCGCAAAAACTTACAGTGATATCTTACATTTCAAGAAATGTCAGGAATGAATCTTCATACCATGATGCTTAATTAAACACAAGGATAACTTTACCCCTAACTCAGACACTAGGCAGGATTTAAAACTGCACAATAAAGAGATTAAACTTAATGTTTAGTAAATTCTTTGGTCATGAAAATGAACGTTAAAAAGCTTTAATTAACCTCCAAGCATGACATGGTAATACAATTATTTATAAAAAGGTAAGGTAAAGCTGTTCCTATCCGTCTTCAACAAATTTAAGCACTACGCCATGAAGGCGTATGGAGGAGTGGATGTATAGATACACATTTTCTTGACCCCAGGACAAGTTGGAGTTGAGTGGCCAGCTTCATGCCCTGGCAGCTTTACCCCCATGGAAAGAACCCCTAGTAACCACTGGATAGGAGGTTGTGTGAACCCCAGAGCCGGTCTGGACGACTTGGAGAAGAGAAAACTTTTGACCCTACCGGGACTTGAACTCCAACCCCAGTCGTCCAGCCCGTAGCCAGTTAATATACTGACTATGGTACCCCAGCTCAGAGAAATTATAATAAGTGCATAAACACTGCTGTAGAAGCATGTATGTTTGAAATGAATGACTACAGCAGAAGAAACACATGTTTCAACATGTGAATTCAGTGGTTCTTACACAAGTTGTTGGAAAATCCACATTGATAGATTCTAAAGGGTTCTGACGATGGTGGATGACACGGAGTATTACTGGGGGTTTGACTTTTTCCATCGTCCAGAATTCTAGGTAGTAGAAGACATGATGTTTCAGAAACTGGATCTGTTTGTCTTCAGGTGAGAAAGGAAGATACCTACTCACCTGAAGACAGAAACAGATCCAGTTTCTGAAACATCGTGTCATCTACTACCTAGAATTCTGGACGACGGAAAAAGTCCAAAAACCCAGTACTTCTGTATCTACATTTATGGCTTGATAAATATGAACATACTGATACACATAAAAAGTGATCTATACCAGCAATAATTAATGTATCCAACTATGTTAAAAACACAGTGCTGTATGGCATGAAACTGACAATCTGGACATGCAACTCAAATGGGGTAGACAAGAAACTGCACATAGTTTTGGTTGTGGAAAGCTCTCTGTGAAAAGAAGCTGTTTGGAAGATGAAGGTGAAGACTGGAATGTAATACTAAAATGGATCTTAGGAATACGGGCAGTGAAGAAGGGAGGTGAATGCACTTGGTTCACGATTACATAAAATGTTTAGCTTTGATATTATCGGATATTTTAGTTACATTACAAAAACTGTATTTCTAACAGCAGAAACAATAAACACGGTAGAAATCTCTATTCCAACACATGCCACCAAATTTTCTTAAGATTATGTATGTGTGAACACCCAAATTTTTTCCAACTTAACCCTCTGACCAATATTCCAAGGATGTCCCATACCAGTGCAGTCCACAGCGCACTGTTCTGACCTGGAAATCTTGGTCTGAGGCTTATCAAATCCCCCTTTTTTTTTCTCTCTCTGCATTTTTCACACTTGGCATACCATAACTGACAAACTGTATGTAACCTGTTATCTTTTAACAAACATTTAGAACATTCTGTACATATTGTCACGTGTTGGGTATGTCATGCAACAAATAACTTTACGTGGGTCTCGGATTTAGCGAATCTTTATTGGACACTTACACACCTTACAATTATTATCGCTTGCAGTATCACTTGACATCTGGCCCAATAATCCAATGCGACGTCTCAATTATCCTTGGCCGTGGTTGGATCTCAACTGTCTTCGGCGATGGCTATCCCACTACTGGCTTCTTGCTGTCTTTCTTCTACATCATATGGCGTCTAGGTTCCAACTGACTTGGCAAAGGCCTTCAACCCCTTTTTATAACCTTGGCCGCTGCTACGCAATGAACCCTCATTATAACCGTGGAGACTCATCTCCGGGGAGATTCAGCGTTCTCTACACAATGGCTCACTGTTAGAATTATAATACCACTATTGTTACTTCTTATGCAATGGTCTGTTCTAGCGTTTCCATGGAAGTAACCCTTCCGGATTCCAAACATGTGACAATATGTTCTAGTCTTCGTGTGTCAGTGAGTTAAGAAATAGTCAGCAGTCAAAGGTTAACTTTAAACAAACAATACTGAACTTTCACCATATTCCTTACAACAGGGCCCTGCAGCAAATAAGTATAGCCAGTGAGAACATACTTGACTTGCATTAGGAGGTACACTGTTCATATTCTGGCTTAGGTACTGGCTACATTGACCAGAATTTCTACTAGATTTCATCAGCCAATCCAGTACTTTGATATCTCCCAATTCACCAATCCAAGTTTATCTTAAACCATATAATATAGTCATTAAATAATTCACATATCAATAACAAGTCTAGGTAAAGCTGTGCTCAATGAAATCTATGCCTACTGACATGAACCTTCGAGTTCTCGAACAGTTGTTTATCTACAGACTGCTTGGGGTAAATCCTGTATCAAGTGGATACTATATTTATCTAAGATGACCTTAGGTATAAGATCTCCTTCACTCTGGAAAGTTTTAAGGAGAAATAATTTTATTATTTGTCCAGATAAATCTTTTAGGTATAATTCACTGGCACAAACATAGCTCCCTTTTCCAAACTCTTCTTACAGAAAGTGCCATGTTACTTTGAACAAGGCCAAGAGTAACCCTGAATGTGCAGAAGAAAAATTTCAGACAAGGGGGTGGAGGGTGAGAGAAGTGACAGGCGGCCAGTGGAAGAGCGAGTGTTAAGAAACTCCTCCCACCACATGCTATGCGCGGGATTTGACTAGGAATGCGGGCCCTGTTCGAAGTTACGTGACACTGCCTATAAAAGCCCCTTTATATTCACTGAATGCCTTTCTGGTAAAACTTGCATCTAATCACTGTCTCACACTGGTCCCATAAATAGTACATCTCTTGCATATCAAAAAATTGTTAGTTATTTTTGGCTGATAACCATTAATTCAAAACAGACATCATATACAGTTTGTGAGAATGAAGGGATCTGCCTATCAGGAGTCTTTCTTGCTTCAAACCACGCTCCCACAATTGTCACAATTGTTGGAGTTTATTACATTTTTGCTTATAAATGCTACTAGTCTACACTCTTAAAAAATGGCACTTTAAAATGAGTACCATCAGTTACAGATGTTCAGTATTGGCACTAATACTGCATACCATATATTTATCATCATGAACTGTATAACAAATGCTAAACCACTGCCCCCCCCCCCAAAAAAAAAGGACTGGGCAAATTTCATATATGGTGGTAACAGCAACAAAAGTAACATAATTACCAACTGCAAAAATTTTCCACACTGATTCTCTCATGAATATGCAAGTTTCAAAATACACCATATTTGGCACATGTCTATTTTACCATAAACAGTTAAACTGTGTTCGATTTTGTGTGTATTTTTTTAAATCATATATATGACCCACCTCTTAATTTTTAATTAAAAGGGAACGCTGATATCACAGTCAGGCAAATATAATATTTCTCATAAACGCTAACTACCAAAACTGAACCAAAGGTAAACTCTGATGCAAGTAATCAGTTTTAATTTTAAAGTGTTCACACATCCATAATTAAAATAACAAAAGTTACAATTCTGTGAAGCACTTAGCAGTGGCAACAAATTTGTCTGCGAATCTGTAACTACTTACGTGTTAATGAAGTCGATGGACTGTGCCTTGAGCTGGTCTGCACTGTGCAAGTCTGCCAAAATCAAGATGTCGGCTGCATTCTCTATCGACAGGTTTGTGCACAGTGCTTCTTCGCACATGACTTTTAACCTCTCTAGTGCATACTGCAACACACATACACATCCTGTGAATGTCTTAAAAGGGTCTTTAAACATCCAAGTTTTTGATGATGACACCCCTTAAATCATGTCAGCAGGATCAAGAGAGACTTCTCTTCTCTAAAGCATACAGACTGGCTCTGTGCCCCACCCAATGGGTCCTAGGGACTATTTTTCTATTTTTTTTTAATGCTAGTGGGGTTGGACTAAGTCCCTTGTACTGCGGCCACTTCTGGCCTATTGTACCAGCCCCACACGATAGGTGAGGGTGATTGGGGAGCAATTGGTGGAATGAAGATCGGCAGGGGAAACCAAAGTATTCAGAGAAAATCTGCCCCAGCGCCACTTTGTCCATGACAAATCCTACTTGACCAGACCCGGGATTGAATCCGGGCCGCCGCAGTGGGAAGCCACCAACTAACCGCTTGAGCTATGGCGTGGCCGACTATTTTCCTAAGCATGAAGAAGTGAGGACATGAAGCTGATCATTCACCCCCCTTTTATGGCCATGGTTCAGAATGCATGGAGCCTTACCTTCACACTAAAATACATCTTCATGGCATGGTGCTTAAGTGAACACATGGAAAACTGTACTTTCTTATCACTATGTCATAAAACACTGCAGTGACACCTGTTTCTAGCATTTCATTGGTGACAGAGACATTTCAAGTGTATAGATAAGAATGAGGCAAGTTAGTACAATTACAGATATTGTACCATCTTCCACAATGAATACTTGTACACAACTCTTAGAAAGTGTGTGTGTGTATGTACACACAAGGAGCCATATGTCCACTGTTCCACACATTTCCATAGTGTCTGAGCATAACTAAATATTAGGACAACTTCACCTTTTACTTTTTATCTTTACCTGCAATTTTTATTCAAGGCACATTTTTCTAAAAGAATACATTGTGAGCTATGCTTAATATCTATTTGCCCCTTAAAACAAAATAACCCTTTATGCCTGAATTAAACTGTCACACAAAATCATGATGCTGCCAGTACAAATATGTTACATCATCCACTGATCATTAAAAAAACAGTGTAAATATATATGTACAGGTTATGGAAGCAGGTTGCTGTTTAACAGCACAGAACTGTGGAAGCCAGCCTTCTACCATCCACACCACAACTCCTGGAACAGTTTTGCTGGGAATGTCTTGCAAATTCACCAAACAGCATAAATCTTGCAACTACTGACTTACACCTCTTCACTCCACTGAAGATGCAAAACACACTTTTGATGTGAAAACTGTTGATGAAGTTGTCCCTGTGCTTAACTAATTAAGCACTATACCACCAAGAAGTACTGGGGAGTGGATGTATTGATCCATATATTCTTGACCTTGCCACCAGTTGGAGGTGAATGGTCAGCTTCATGGCCTGGCTGCTTTAACCTTGGGGAAACAGCCTCCAGTACCCATTGGGTAGGAGGCTTGGTGGAGCCCAGAACCGGTCTGAAGACATTGAAAGGAGATAAATCTTGTCCCTACATGGACTTGAACTCTGACCTCTCAGCCATCCAGCCCATAGCCAGTCACTATAGCTACTGTGCCATCCCAGCTCCCACTTCTGATGTGATGATGAGGTGTCAGTTGGTGCAAACACTGAGACATACATAATTTCGCCATGCAAATCAAACAGTTGGTGTACTGCTGGGAGAAACAGACAGACTGCCCATTATTCCTCATTCTTTCTGTGTAATAAATGTACATAACACACCCTCATATGTTACTGAACACCCTCTGTAGCAACCATATTCATTCATTCATCAGTAATCTGTCTCTTCCAAAACAGTTCCTCCACTTAATGTGATCTAGAGCTTTCTCTTTCAAATGAGAATATCCTCTTCTGTCCCCAAGATCATCCAGCATCTTCTTACGTCTTCTTCCTCGTCTTCTGGTCACTTCTATCCGCCCCTCTATCTTTCCTTCAATAACTTCTTTTAGAAGGCAGTTACCGCGTAAGATATGACCAATCTAATTAGCCTTCCATTTTATTTCGTGTAGGATATTCCTCTGCTCACTGACTCTAAATAACACTTCTTCATTTGTCACATAATCGGTCCAACCGATCTTCTGTCCTAAGTAGCAACCATATATGAAAAAATAAAGTTGTCCCTGTATTTAACTAAGTAAGCAATATGCCATGAATGTGCACAGGGGACTGGATGTATAGACCCATGTTTTCTTGACCTTGGCATCAGTTGGAGGTGAGTGGTCAGCTTCACGCTCCAGTTTCCATCTGATAGGAGGTTGGGTGGACCGCAGAGCCGGTCTGAACGACACAGAGAAGTGAAAATTCTTTACTCCATTGGGACTCCAACTCCAACTCCTTGGTTGTCCAACCAGTAGCTAGTATCTGTACCTACTGCACTACCCTGGCTCACACATGAAAAGACCTGCAATTGGGATGACATGCTCATTCTTACCTTGTCGGCAGCAGCGAGCAAATCATCAGCCATCTTCTCAAGGTTGGTTGCTTTGCCTGTGTATATGAAGCGCAACATTTCACGCAGAACCTCATGATCTATATCTGTTATCTCAACCCGGTTATGTTTCCTTTCTTCCATCTCATGTTCGAACATGGCTGCAAACACAGGACTCCGAGCTGGAAGCAATATTTCTTGTTAGAAAAATTTATGCAATTTTATTTTTATCATGACTGACCAAAGAGTCTCAAATTTCAGTGCTAACCTATTTATTATGCAACAATGAAACATATATGAAGATTTTAAAAGTGACTGACTCTGTGGCACAGATCCAACGAAAAGCAATTCTTGTTGATGATCTGTTTTATTAAAATGATCATTCATGCAGTATTGCCAGCTTATTAAAAGATTATTTGGAAGACTCTCATATATATCGTTCTGAGAGCCTGTGTAAAACACACTTCTTCTAGAACTTTACACATGACTGGCACAGCTAGTGTGACTACTCACTGTTGGGCACCCAATGCTCACTGAACTGGAATGCACCAGTGTCGACATATGGATCACAGACTTGTATAGCTAGTATGTCTTACTTGTGCGTAAACAGTTTTAATATTATTGGGTTAAAAGGGGGGGGGGGTAAAGCTATCCTTATAACAGGCTGTGGAGACCCATAGGGTTGTGAGACCTCAAGGCTCCCACATTTTGTCTAGACAACTGGCTCACAGGTGGCGGTAAGGTTGTCAGCTTTACGCGCCAGCCGCCCTTTATGCCCCAGGAAGATTCCTGGTACTCATTTCTGTTAGAGGCTGAATCGACCCAAGGGCCCTAGTGCAGCTGAAAGATTAGGTAAATTGAAAAAATCCATCCCATCGGGACTTGAACCCACAACCTTCTAGCTTCTAGCATAGTGCCTCAACAAAGTACGCTACCGTGTGCCAATAGTAATATTTTTGGGTGCATGACCTTCTTATTTCCCTGTACAAATACAGTAAAATATGGAATGAGCTGGAATGAAATAATCTGCCACTGCTGAAGACATTTCTTTGAAACTAATACTCAGATTATCAAAATTAACCACTGGAGGTCAATTATCATGTTCTCAAAAGCGAGCCACTGCACACTACCCTGACCCATTTTAATGTTATCATACTCGTATGTGCAGAGAATGCAATAATGATACAAGTACCCCTCATTAAAGGCGAGTTAAAAAAATGTGATTTCATTTAAATGTGCTTATCTAATTTAGGTGAGTTCAATTAACAGAACTTGCTTTAATGCAAAGCGGTTGCTGGCCAATGGACAGAGGCAAGGAGAGTGTCAGTTTATGCAACTTCACTCCCTGTGGCTATTTCTGTAACAACTGTCACATAAACGAGGAGTACTTGTATAGGGATAAAAATAAACACTACTTCACTGGATCATGTACACAATGGGATTGTAGCCATAAGTAAAAGCTGAGTACATAATATCTCATTTCTGAACCTCACAGCATCTCTGAGATGCATTACTCTTTCTCACCTGCTAATATCGCTTTATGGGCCTGGAATTCCCGTCCACTTACTGACAAGGTCACATCGCTGAACTTCTGGTTTTCAAACAGCAAGCCGAGGTCGTCTGAGAGACGGCACTCCGGCACTTTGAACTGTATCGCATTTGACTGTCCCGAGATGTTTACACTATCCGCTACTACGCTCACCTGAATAAAATTCAATAGTCAAGTCACATTCCCGCTAACCACCATGAAGACACTATTGTACATAAAAGCCACAATATCTTATTTTCTTACATATCACATGCTAACAAGACTACCAGACCATAATGAAGGGTGTCATGGCAGTCGTTTGCATACTGCTGACTCCCAGCCAGTCCTGAAACTGGACTTACTAACACAGCCAAAAAACTTCTGACTTTTCTTTATACAAACAAGTAAATCTAGCATAACTGCAAGGGTTCTATCCAGCTTTCTACACAACTGAAACCAGGTGGGATTTTATCCTGGGGTGAAGATAGTGGGCATGTGAAGCCAACCACTCTTTTAGCTCATTATGGTTAAGCATGAATGGGGTTTATGGCCTCATATGCCTTCAAAGTGAGACATTTATGCAGGGGATAGTTTACAGTGCATATGGTTACCAAAATTATTAATACACATATAATTACACACAATCAATCATTAATCTGCCCACTTGTTTTTCATTATACTTCCACTACCTGTTCCTCTGTGATCTCNCCCCCCCCCCCCAGTACCGTTTCATTCTCATGACATATCATCTACATTTTATACCATAGGACGGGCAGGTACTCATTCATTAATCCCTTCAATCTGATAGAATGTTCACCGATTGCTGCTTAATTTGCAAGACAGGTTTATGCAGGAAGATACATGCACTTTGATCTGTTAACTGTCTCTCACAATTTTTTATCGATGTATACCTAGTAAACTGGCTCCAGCAGTACTGCTTCTGACTTGTATTCAGGAGGGCCCTGGTTCAAATTTTAGCTAGACAATAAATAATTCCTGTTACAAATTTCATCAGCAACGCTGTACAACACCACAGAAGAAAATATGAGATACAATTCACAGACACTGATGGGTCACTAAAATAAAAATGTTTTAAGATAACCAGAAAAAAATATGCATTCTGGAAGATGTAGAAGAAGACAGAAAAATTTTGTTTTGTAATCCATAAACGGGTCCATTAGGCCTAATCTAAAGAATGTAATTACCAGGTTGGGGGTACCAGTAATCATGTCTGAGAGACACTCACTTCAAATTCTGGCCAAGCTACTGGCTATACTGAGGCATTTTGTGGTTTCCCAGTCTCTCCAGACAAATTATAAGAGAGTACACTGTGATATACCATTACTGTCTCCTTCCAAATCATTATCTAGTCATTATTCATTGACATTTTCCCCTCTCATCTGGTACTAATAGCCTCTGTTGTTGAAACTGTGTCATTAAATAAAAGATCCAACTTCAAACTGTGAAAAATAGTGATACAGTACAATCTTAGTAATCTGACATATATGGGACCAAGGTACAGCCAGATTACTGGAAAAAGAACAAATTTAATAAGTTGCATTGCACAACACAGAAGTTTCAGAATTGATTATCATTTAACAGAATTTATCATTTATTTATTTTACATATATACAGGGTGTCCCAGGAGGAATGGACCAAACTTCGGGAGGGTGTTCCTTATGTTAAAGTATGCCAATATAACCCAAAACACCTATGTCCAAAGTTGAACGGTTACGGAGATAATGGCCAGAGAAGTGTCAAACTTTGACCAGTGTTACACACTTGTTGATTACAAAATACATATTAAAACTGGCAGGAATATGTGGATTCTGTAATGTTAATAATGTACGTAACATCAAACTAACTTGTGAGTGACGGAAAGCCATAAAATTGAAGTACGAAATACTCGCTCGCCATGTCATAATTGTCCTTAGGTTTCCAAGCACTATACATGACACATGACTGGCGAGCGATGACGTAATATGGCTGCGCTATAACCCGACCACATAACTGTAAACGTACATTCACAGGAAATCTCTTTTGGAATTTCGTTTCCATTATCTCATGTGGATTATTATGGAACCACGTATGCACATTTCGTAAATTATTTACACCATCCAGGGTAAAAGACGCCTCATCACTGAATAAAATGACGCTTAACAGTTCGGGATGAACTTTTTATCCAGTGGCACAAATCCATA